GAGGAAAGTTTTAAAATACCAAAAATATCCTTGCATTAAGATTTTAATTCAAAATTGCCAAAATTATAAATTTCCTAATTTATCTATTGATTTATGGTTAATATTGGTTCTCACAGTTACCACAAACTAATTAGTTCTCATTTGATTAGGCCCCTATATATATATATATATATTAGACAATTACACTATCACGTATGTTCTTCATATACACAAATTTTCAATTTATTCATATATCTATATAATTTATTCGTATATATGTTCAGTAACTGTGAACATATATATGTAAATTGAGAAAGTTAACTGAATGTGATATACGTAAGAAGTATAGATAAGTTGTATCAAATAGTTGATGATAAAAAAGAAATTATTAGTAGAGAAATAATATATTCAAGGTTATAAAAATATTTTATTGTATCAAAATATCAAACCAACCAATCTGACCAACTCGTACAGTTCAGGTTGGATTGGATTGAGATTTCTCAAATCACAAGTTATTTAAATGTCTTCAACCTCATCGACACAATTAATAAACACTTTTAGTTTACACCCAAAGTCGCTAAACTTTCTCACTTATAATAATCAATTTTGTGATTTGTATTTTATTTTAAAAGTAATCCTTCTATCACTATTAGTTGGTGTGTCGTTAATCGAAGGCAACTTTGACGTTTTATCCATTTTAAATATAAATTAAATTATATATTATTTTTAATAATATATATTCACACCCATTCAAGCAACACACTGAACCTCTTTTTCCATTCCTTCTTCCACGTGACCACTTTTTAGAGATGTGTAAAAAACTATCAACCTGTGGAGCCCATCCAATACAATCGTTAATAATCTAATTAAACCTAACCTATCAATTAAAAGAGTTAAAATTGGGTTAGGCCTAACTCAATCCACCAATCCAACACTAATATATAATTTTCATATATATATATATATATATATATATATAAGCATTTAAGACAAAGTCTTAAATACAATTCTTTAAACACAAGTTACAACCATTTTATGCATGATTTTCAAAAAACTCTTAAAGACAAGTCACAAAGCATAAGGTACAAGTGTTTTATGCATTGAGTTTAACCTTATTTTTCTCTCTTCCTTTTCCAGAGACAATCTCTTCCGCCAAAAATGGGTAAGGTCAAAATGGGCTTTTTCTGTTCTTCTTTCCTTTTCCAGCTTCCTCCTCTTTTCTAGCTTCCTCCTCTGTGCCTTCTTCCTTTTCATGATTCCTCCTCTGCGCCTTCTTCCCAATTAGTAAGGTCAGCCCTTTGCTTTCTTCAATTGCTGCAACCTTTGCAGAAATGGCCGGCTCCTAAGACAATCTCATATGTGCATATAACCAGAAGTTTGAGGCTTTGATTTCTCCACAGGTTCTTCAAAACCCTAGCAATTTCTTTGAGGTACTGATTTGGTTTACATGTTCTTCAAAACTCAGGTTCTTAATGTCGTTTTTTATTTCGTTTTTGGATTTCATTTCTGGGTCTGTTTCCATTTCATCTTATTTGCAACTGAGTTTTCAATATTGGATGATTTCATTTATGTGTCCATTTCAACTTATACACACACACACATATGGCCACAAACAAAAAAAAGTAAGATTAGAACTGGTGATTTGAGCCCTCCACAATCCTGAGGGCTAATTCTTCTTCTCTGTTGTTGCGATAATCAGCAGAAAACCCTGAACTGAAATCTTGATGGATTAAAGATAAGTATTCACAGATAGTTTATGGTTTGAGATCATGATCATCTTCATTTCAACTCTGTTCTGTTTTTTAATCATATTTTTATTTTATTTTTTATTATATTTTTAATGGTCTATTGTTTGTTGAGGTTGAATTTGAGGCTGCTATGGAATATGAATTTATCATCTTTCTTTGCTTCTTGTTTGAGTTGGAACTGGAAGTATCTTGATCTATAAGGGGGTTTTATGGGTTTCAATACACCAACCAAGGGCAGATACAAGAAAATCTCATCATCGGCCAATTCTCCTCCTTTTAGTAACTTGTAGCTATCAAGAACAGAGAGACTTTGGTTCCGCTTTCCTACAAGCATGATAGTAGAATATTGCTTTATATACAATAAAATTATTTGCAATCAAACAATTGAAAGGAAATAGAGGAACTATTATTACCTCCAGGTACATTGTAGTCAAGATCTGCAAAGTAAAAAACAAACAAACACAATCAAACATGGATATTATTAATGGATCATTGCTCGGAAGATGATTTTATATTTTGTTAATACAAAGTAAACATAAGAAATATATGAACTATTCTATGTAGTTTCTGGATAGTCCTTCTCTATTAGAAGATTGTTGATGCCTCCCACCCAATATAATRGAAATGTATAGTGTTTAGCACGTAATACTTTGCTCAAGTATAGTGTTTAGTAAAAATCTTTATTGAAATCATCACCTCCAAGTAATCACSATCACCTYCAAATGAAACAGAAGCATGTCATCTCTAATTTGCATTTTGCCCTATCATATTATTATACTGTTTTGGATTTGCATTCACCATCACACAACACACATCTTTTGGATTGGCCAAAATGTATTATACTKTTTTGTTCTTAYTGGTTGTGTTTGTGTGCTTACARTTTCAAGACAAAGTCTGGTTGTGTTTGTGTGCTTACAGTTTCAACAGCAGCTGTTTCTTCATCAGGTATAAACACATCTTTAGAATAGCTCCATCAATTTAATTGGACAACATAAGCATCATGGTTAAGGAAACCTCCTTTAGGTCTATAAGTAATCTTTGAGGATGTGGAGGGTGTCATCATGGGGTTCAACTTAGCAATACTACTGTTTGAATCTTGCTTAYATATTTCATGGTTGCCTGTTTACATTAAGCTTACGTATAACCTATTTACATGCCTATTTTGATTTTAACCACATGAACATGCATAAGGATCAATACTTAAGTCTAAGGATCAATATACTAGCCAAGGATCAATATACTAGCCAAGGATCAGTACAAAAACCAACACCCCTGTGCCTGCTGTTTTTGTACTGTAAAATTTCTTAGACCTCTGTATGCATTAAAGTTGTATGCATACAGAGGTCTCAGAAATTCTACAGTAGCCATATAACCTGCTGTAATATAACACCCCTGTACCTGCTGTTCTAAATCAAAACTTTGCTTTCTGATAATTTGCTTTCTGAATCCTTGCTTTCATGTATAACACCCATGTACCTGTTGGGATGCATAACCATTTAGTCCATAATTAAAATATTGACCTAAATGGTTATATAGAATAGGCACATATTATAGAATCTGTTTATATGAAGAATAGGCACATATTATAGATTCTATGCAACAGATTCTTAAGTCCTTTCTTAATGGTTATGCATCCCCTGTACCTGCTGTTTTAAATCAAAACTTTGTTTTCTGATAATTTCCTTTCTGAATCCTTGCTTTCATGTATTAAACAAAATATGAAAGGTTCTCTTAAAATATCATTTTCAAGCTTTTGTGTAAGTTTAGAACCACATGAACATGCCTAACGTTGGTGAGAACTGCTACTATTTCTGTTTAAGCAATGACAGCTTTTGCCAAGTCAGCAACTCCATTTCATCTTATACACACACACATTTGGTAGAAGTCTCCCATGTCGTTGGGGACATTGATGTCTCCCATAATCCCGTGGTTCTCTGGGTAGAAATCGCAGGTCTGCCAGTATTGTTGAACATACTTTACCGGCACCTCGTTGTCGGAGAGAGTGAGGGCCGGTTGGAGGATACAGTTCTGGAAGAACTCGATAAAGATAGCAAGCCTGTCTTCAAAGAGTTATGGGCGAAGGTCGATTGCGTGGTTGTTAGGCTTGATGGGGAGGAACACTATCGCAAGGCTGTCGGCGCCAGTGGATTGGACGTGGCTATCGCTGTTGTTGGACTTGTGCGAGGCGGAGGATACCATTTTTGCAGGTTGGGAGTTGCAGGTTCATCTTAGCTGTTTAAGTTCTTGTAAGCTTTTTTTTGTGAGCGTAAAGAATGAGAGGTTGGGGATGACGACCTTTTATAGTGAGAGGGAGAGGAAAGGTTAGGCTTAAAAGAATATTAAAAATGGTGGGGTAATCATGGTGGGAGACGTTTGGGAAAAAGGAGGGATTGATGTGTGATCGTGAGCCATAAAGTCTGCTCATGATCATGATGGTGCAGGTTTATAGGGACACGTGTCAAGATGGGGTGGGTTGGAGGGAAATTTGAAGGGTTTCGAGGGATCAACTTTTGCTAGTTGTCAGGCTCGTGTAAGGTTATTACCGTTTGGGTTAT